CAGCAGGAAGTCAAACTAACTTCCTTTCACAAAGATACAAACTTGCAAAGCTTAATTTGTTTTTAATTCCACTGCCTTCAGTCCTCACATAAGGGACTATAAATTCCTGAAACTTCAGAACCAGGTGAGAAAAGATGCCAAAAAAAGTGATGGAAAAAGAGAGGCGCTGAGAGGAGAGGAATCCCGTTCCCCTCTTAAGGAGAATGTTAAAGCCAAGGGCACTCCCGATCCCCAGAAAAGGAAGTAGCTGGATTCCAAAAAAGCACTTTTCCCTACCTTCTTGTTGTTTTTGTTATAGCCAAAAGTCGAAATCCCAGGCCTGGAAGTCACTGATAGCAGCATTTTCTCTTTAATGTTAGGAAGCTAAGAGACAGAAGAGGGGAAGAAGGAGAGGGAAAGGGAGAGGAAAGAGAGAGAGGGAGAGGGAGGGAAGGAGGGAGGGAGGAAGAGAAGGGAGAGGGAGAAAGGAGGGGGAGGAGAAAGGGGGAGAGAAGGGGGGGGGAGTAAAGAATGAGCTAGGGCTGCTTGTTTACGTCACTGATAGAACTTAACCCCGAGTCTGAGTGAGGCTCTTCCACTGGGTCCTAATGCCCAAGATGTTTTTATGGTTTTGTTGGTTTTTTGTTTTCCCCCACAGGCTTAGCAGTTAAAGCAAAAGAAAAGTTCTTAGGTCTACCCCTTTCAACTCCATCACCTTTCCTATATGAACAAGTTCAGATTCCCATGAAAAAATGAGGATATTTTCTCCTTAGATCTCAGCTATAAGAAGATTCCAATCTTGATTTTAAAGGGGCCACTGGGACACTGCTTTGGAGAACATGTGAAGAAAATCACAGTACTGAAAAAGAATATGTGAGGTGAGCTCAGGACTTACCCCCCACTTTATATTTAGAGCGACCTTAACACACAAAGAAAGAACAAACAGAAGAGCTCACCAAAGAGCAGAGACAAGCAAAACAGAGGATGGGAAATAACTAGTTTCAGATCCTTGGATAGTTTTACTCCTCTTGGGTTATGCTGATGGGCTGATGCCTCTTAATCCTTTTCAGATTCTCCCAGCTGTGACTTAATACTTGAGAAGGAATTTTCAAACTGGACTATGGCATGAAACTTGGTGCCTAGTGCTTTCTTTTTTCTTTCCCCCAGCTTTATTGAGATATAATTGCCTAGTGATTTCTTCAATTGTAAGCTATCTTATTTGAATCTTTATCCCACTATTTCCTAGTCTTCAAGGTCTATGAAGCTGAACAATTAGTTACTCACCCAACCTGAAATTTATGCCCAAGCTGAAGTTCACAGAGTTGGGATGTCTGCTTCAAGCTGTCTGTGAACTGTAGAAAAAAATAAATAAATAACTATTTAAAAAACATATGCTTCACAGAGAAGAAAAATACAAAGTTCTTAGGAAAGAAGAGCATTAATTTAGAGTCAAGAATTGAACACAGTTGCAACACTCACCTCTAATACTTTCAAAGGAATGTCCTGTAGAAGGTACCTTAACAATAAAAGAAACTTGTTGGAAAACAAAAATTTAAGAATGATACCCAGTAATTTACCAATCTAGTCCAAGTAGAACAGGGATATAGAATGAAAGCCTTCAAATCACTTCTTAAGGCCCCCTCACAGCCATAGTGGATATTCTAAGTAATAAATTAACCCTGTCTGCTTTGCCACAAAAAAAACATTAAGCCCAAACCGTCCCTTAAATGAAGTCCCAGTCTCTATTCTAGTTTTCCTGTCACCTTTTTGCTATAATAATGGGACAGACAGAACCAACAGTCTGCAGAGTAAATACACACATACCACACCCCCAATCTCTAACTTTCATTTCCAATAGGACAGGAAGTTCCTGCTCAGCTCAAGGGACACAGGAAGGGTGGGAACAGCCTCAATGTGGGAACTGCAACTGAGATTGGAAGCACAGCAGCCAAATGCAGTCAATAAATCAATAAAGGCATCTCTCAGTGATACCATATTTTTTTAAAGTCCCTTTTCTGCCCTCAGAGATTCTCATTCATGATATGCCAAGTTATCTTTGCCATTTAGGTCCTTGGTTGGTCTTCTCCCTTAGCCTAACAATGTGGTAAAAACCCTTCATTTTTAAGGCCTGATTTATAATGGGATTTATAATAGCAGTCAACCTAATTTAATTTTTTAAAACTTCTAATATTCTCAACGTGTTGTGTTCTCTTACTGCATTCCTTAATGCTCAATGATACCTTAGAATTTAAAATAGTTAAAACTGTAAGTTTTAGAGAGAAGCAAACATGAGTTCAAATCCTGACACCACTGTTAGTTACTGTTTATATAACTTTAGGCCAAGTTACTTAACATCTCTAATTTACTCATTTCCAAAATGGAGATAATACCTACTTCATTTGCCTTTGGAATCAAATCTAAGTTCTGGTTCGGTCCTGTCACTCACAAGCTGAGTGACACTGGGAGAATTACCTCACGTCTGAACCTTACTTCTCTCATCTGTAAAATACACTAAATAAATAGTCTCTGCTTCCTAAATTGTAGTGAAATGAAATAATGCAAGGTATATAAAGCCCTTAGGCAGGTATCTGGCACTTGGTAGACATTCAACAGATGTTAGCTCCATTTTGATTAATTACCCTACTGTCTCCCAGTGTATCCCTCTGGGTATTGTATAACCCAGATTTTATGATCTGAAGTGAACATTTCCAAAAACTAGTAGCTTAGTTACATTCAAAAGATCATACTAGGACTAGGCAGGCTAAACTATATAAGTGGAAATACTGAATAAGAAATTTCAGGAATCACCCAATCCAATTTCATTTTTCTAGAAGCAAACAAACCGATTATTTGGAAATTCTTTTCATAACTCCCAATCTCTTGGAAATTGGTGGATCATCTCTTATCTCTAGGAAAAAAAGGAAACAAAATAATACAGAATCAAAGTACACTAGACAAGACATCCCAGCTCCCATTTCTCTAGAGTCCTACTACTCTAAGAAATTGAAATAGATCTAGAAAAAGTAGAAAGTATCAGAAGGGAGATAAAGAAGGATCCAATTAAATAAATTCTATTTTATAAATTCTATATAAATAAATTCCATATGTATTTACTAATACAAAAACCTGTATGTTTATACTCTGATTATTAAGTTTAGGGCCATAAAAGTAAGATGACCCAGATTGGTGAACTGATGCCAAAGGTCAATTATGTCAAAGAGCACCAACAGGATTGGAAACGACATCCTCTACTCTGGTAAGTATATTTTTAAAGGAGGCTATGGAATCTTGTGGAAGTGACCGAGAAGGTAATGGAGTTCTGTGGTTATATTCAGGAAGTATAAGAGCAGAGGAAGAATCCTATTTCTTCCAGTGTGTTTACTTTGATCACCGCCCCCCATCTGCTTTGCCCATTATATTGCTTACATTTTTCCAGATTTAGTCAATGCCTCTCAAATTCTTGGTTCTCTTGAGCCCAGCACCCAAAAGTTGTTTTGAGGGGAAAAAGTAAAATAAGTTATTTGGAACATCTCTTGGACGGAGACATTTATACCTCAGATTCAATATAGACTGGTTTGTGATTTCTCCAGAAAAACTGTAACAGGGAAGAACAAATCTGACTCCATGTTGGACCTGTTTCTCTTACTTTAACCTCTGTATTCTATTGCTTTTGCTACAAGTTAAGAATGTTGCCTATAGCCTGAAATATACAGGATAGCCCATTCTCAAGGCTCTGACCTTTAAAGGTATAAAACTTTTCCATTCCTACAGAGATAAAAAGTTGCAGAACAGAGAATAACATTTGTCATGTTGGAGGTTTACAGGAACAATATGACCTGACCTACCCTGACAGATGCAAGAACAAAGGATTCTGACATGAAGAAGTTTGAAGCAACCAACCACACCCATTCCCCTTTTAGTAAAAAAGAAGCCTAAATTCCAACTTGGGTAAGATGGTTCTTTAGGACACTAGTCCACCACTTCTCGGTCTGCTGGCTTTCCAAATAAAGTCACTATTCCTTGCCCCAACAACTTGTCTCTCAGTTTACTGGCCTGTCCTTCGGCAAGCAGCACGAGCTTGGACTTGGTAACAAAACACTTTTAAGTATGTGTCTCAGGTAGAGAGCAGTTGGGGTCAGATCAACCCTGACTTGTACGTTGAAAGATGACTGCCTGCAACTATTGGGCCCTCCACATCAAAGTGGAGAACTCAAGGAATGTATTACCTGCAGATATGCCAGACGCTAGCTGTAGGACTAGAGCCAGGCTGATGTAGCACATGTGTCTGCCAGCAGTAAGACAGGGCCAAGTTTGTTAGTGGAGCTCTGAATATGGTTCAGAGACCTGAATAAGTATATTAGGGCCAAGGGGTTTTTTTCCCCCAGCTATTCATATTCTCTGTGGGGATTTCCCTGGCAGTCCAGTGGTTAAGACTCTGCGCTCCCACTGCAGGGCGTGCGGGTTTGATCCCTGGTCAGGGAACTAAGATTGTGGCCAAAAAATATACATATATATATATTTCAAATAAATATATAAATTTATATTTATATAAATATATGTATTATATATATATATATATATATATATATGTATTCTCTGTGGATTATCTTTCCTCCCACTGATTAACTTTTGTGCCCAAAAGTCTAGGTCATGAAAAAAGACCAAAAAGTTCAATTTATTTAATGGTAAAGAGATGAGGTAATGCCTTAAGAAGAAGTGAAAAAAAAAAAAAGTTTAACACATCAGCTTCCTTAAGTAGGAAAATTTAAGGATCTGAATCAAACAACTAGAAAAGCTTAGCCCTGTCCCCTTTGAATGTAGGATGGAATGACAAAATTGGTCTAAAACTAGAAATGGGGAATTTTGGCCTCTCGACTCCTTGACTTAACTCATTGGAAAACAGGGGAAAAGACAGGCAACTCTGAAGAATTATTTATCTCATACCCTGGATATCAGTGCTAACTGTATATTCTCCTCTTCTATAACAATAGATATTTCTGGCCAAAACTTACTACAGAGAATATCCTAACAAAATTTTCAAGTAGACTTTTCCTTTGCCAGACACTAAAGAAATACAGGAATCAAATCTTCTAGAATCACTGGACCAGAAAATTAGTATAATGTAGAAAGAAAAGACTAGACTGGTTTCTATGCATACCCAGAATGGACTGCATTGATGGGTAATAATATAGTCTCCAAATGTATGTTTCCTTTACACTTGAGACATTAATTTTGTTTGGCTTCAGCTATCCCTAAAATAAATAGCTCAGATGATCCCCATAAGGGTCCACAACTGAATTGAACAATTAGAACCAAATGAAATGGCTGCTTATGTAGGTTAAATATAAATCTTTTCAAATAGTCAAATACTGGTAATTTCATATGGTTAAATCTAACACTGCAAGAAGGGTGAGACTGTGGAGATGATAATGAGTCAGAATACTG